CAACGACCACAACCACCTCAACAAGCACAACGACCACCACAACGACCACCACAACGACCACCACCACCACCACCACCACCACCACCACCACCACAACCACCACCACTACCAACAACACTACTACTACTACTACTACTACTACCAACACCACTACTACCACCACCACTACTACAGTACTACCAGCACCACCAGCACCTGTACCAGCACCAGCACCACCACCGGCACCAGCCACAGCAGTACCTGCAACGCGTGTGGTTAGCCCGAAACTCTCCTGCTGCCTGCCACCACTGCTGCTGCTGCTGCTGCTGGTGCTGCTGTAGTGTCGTTCCGGGTGTGGGTTTCTTCGTGGTTTTGGGTTGTTAAGGGGTGGGCATTTGCGGTCAGAGCTTGAGGCTGTTGATGGCTTTAGGGTTGGTAAGGGATTCAGCAATGGGATTTGTATTATATGACACTGTACGACTACGCCTTCAGCTGCTGCTGCCACTAATTACTGCTACTGCTCCTGCTCCTGCTGCTCGCTGCTGCCGCTCCTGCCCCTGCTGCTCCTCCACCACCATCACCACCAACCACTACCACTAACCACCACAAACCACCGAACAAATTCCTCTACTTATTTGATGACATGAAGTTCGCCAAGACTATGTCTACTCATCATACCTCAACCTCAACACACACGATTGCTACTGGTGATGCAAAGAATCCTGCATGACCTTAGTTTTTCATAGCACCGTAATTCCCAAGGTATGAGGACCTTAGATGACCACACAGGGTCAGGCAAGATTGTATCCTCCGTACTAGCTGGGCGAGCAACGAGCCAGGTCGAGTATGCTGGTACTTCGAGCCCACGACAGGGATCTGCTGGGGATTACAGGCTGTTTTGGGTGATCAATAATGTGTCAGAAGTGTTCTGCACTGATCCTTCTCCCAATGCGGGCCTACAACACTGTGCCTGAGAGTGGGTTGGAGAAGGACGTTTATGTAATCGACGAACACCGCTGAAGGTTCATTGTTGACTAGAATTCGGAATTAAGATTGATCACACTCCTCAGCTACCTGCAGCATTTGGAATGCTGTCTTAAATGGTGCACGCTGCTGCGACAACACTGCACTGACAGCTCTTGCACAACATTCCCCTGCAGTCGCCAACCCCGCCGCCTTGCGCAACGTGAAGGTCATGTGGCGCGGAGGCCTTGGGACAAAGCTGCGCGGGGAACCGCTAGAAAGGTGCTAAAGAATCGATTTCTACCACCAACATCTAGTCAAGAACAGGGAAGAGCAGACCTGCTGTCGCTTTATTCCCCCCCCCGACTCACCACTCCACAAAGCGTTTTGGTGTACCTTAGGCCGAAATATCTAGCAACCTTCCTTGTACATTGGGGTTTCATGAGGACAGGTCTCACGTGGCGGTGGTGGGGATGGGCCGATGATGTCCAGAAGAATCTCGGAATCCTCGCAGGAATCGTGAGTTTCTATTTGCAACGTGCAGGCGCGTGTGTGTTGTTGACAAAGCCCTGCTGGGTTACGGGTGACCAGGGAAAATGCAAAACATCCCCATGTTCAGTTTTGCATGTGTCTGTGCAGTCTCTGTTTGTGCAAGTGTTTTGAACTCAATTCGTAGTCATAGTGTAAAGCAGGGGGACCGTGCCTTCAGCTACCAACCTGGTCGCACGAAGCTTAGTAACTGAAGCGGAAGCATCACAAAACGCTTTGATGTGTACTTGCTTGGGAGGCCCCGCGTGGTGCCCAAGATGAGAAAACAGGACGGCCCCCTGTGGTGTCCAGATTCGAGGGATGCAGTAGGATTTGCATGTCAGGCAGGCGCAGTCATGTCAAACATGTCAGTGTGATCAACATGCCAGCACGGTTATGAACATGTTGTGCATGCAGTTTCGTACAGTTTTCCCTTTTAACAGCAAAGATTTTAAGGCAAAATCTGCCAGCAAGGCTTTCAGCATCGCAAGAAAGAAAATGTACAGGTCAACATACGGCAAAACATGCTATACCTTTGCAGTATGAGCGGCTTCATCAGAGGGAGGATTGCATGGGTGTGTGGGGTGGGGAAGCCCAAGGCATCCCACGACCACCCCCGCCAACGAAGGCATCCACATTTTCTGGCAACAAGATTGGAAAACGCTGGCAGCTTGGGGCAGCAAGATCAGATTTTCGCGGTAGGTTTACAGTTATAGATCATGTGCAGTCATGTTGTTACCCAATGTACATCTCTTCAGCTGCCTGTCTCCCTCCAATCTTGTTTTGAGTTCAGCCTCAAAGCCTGATTTTCACTTGACTGCAAGATTCAGCCTTGAATGAACTTGCAGGCATCACCCAACAATGAGGAAGCGCATGCAAATCAATGACCACAGGCTCAGGCTTTCGGCAGTGGTTTTCCGCGCGCGTGTTGAATTCCGGGCTTCCCTGTGGCAGGGAGCTTGGTTTGGGGACGCGCACCAACCGGCGTGGTTCAGTGCGTTGTGCCAACGGAGCGGTCCTGTCTGCGTTGCTCCTGCTCAGCCCTGATCTGAGCAATCTTGCCCAGAACCTGCAGAGCAGAACAACCGAACGACGTGCCTGCAAATCTGAGAAAATATGCGTCCAAGCAAGTGCTTGCCTCCGCAGCTTTGTCGTAAGGCCGGCTGAGCTCGGTAAGCTGGCATCAGGTCGACGGGTACGAGCAAACAAAGCAAGTGCTCACTCGCGGCTGACAGCTGACACACCTGCATCTTTGTTTTCTCTCGCTGCCTCATGCAAACACGAAGAGCCATTGCCAAGTCTTTGGGCAACTCGTGTTCAACGTCAACCTTCCGGTTGGCCACGGCAAAACAAAGGTGGGAACGGTGCAAGAAATTCCTTGGACACCATGTGCGGTCAACTAGGAAGGTTTCCAGCGCAGAGTACCGGCCATCACAAACAACTGCAGCCCCAATGTGGGCAGCGTGCACTCTAATTTGATGCTTGCGGCCTGTGGCAATGCGCATCATGAACAGACTCAAGGCCTGCAATTCCATCATGAAAAGCCCAGACAATCGCATTCCTGTGGAAGAGGGGCGACCAAACCTAAGGCCGATGAGCACCACACATTGCATGTAGTCAACTGCCCTGAAAGTGCCTCAGCCAACATGGCAACCAGCTTCTACTGAGACTGCAGACAAAGAACGGGCTGATGGAGCTGCTGGTGGTCCGGCCGTCACTGACCCAGTGCACAGCCGCATGCACATGGCTGCGACCATGGAGCCATCCATGACAAAGCACCTGATACACCTGCACGCCAGCAAAAACGCTAGATGTCTCAACAGAATTCAGAGGCATTTTCAAATCCCAACTTAAGTCCTTGTGATGCAAAACACCCTTCCGCGAACCCCTTCCGAATCCCTCCGCGGCCCCGAGTGTTCATGAAGGTTTGATGTCTTGCACTTCCAACAGCCTTCGTTCGCCAAATATATTCTCTTCTTGGACTCTCGCGGTGTGACGCTTGCTTGCGACCAAACTATTACGCGTAAGCCTATGCTACGTATGCCTAGGCTCGTCATTGAGCACTACAATACTGATAGTTACAGACATGTTGCGGACACGATCTTGTTGCTTGCTCTTGGAACGCATGTGCATGAGACATGAGCACTGGGCTTCAAAAAGACGTCCAGTCTTCCGCGAACCTTCCGCAAAGTTCCCCTCAGCAAGCCTGATGCTGCAACCTCCGAACCAGTCACTGCTTGTTGGCATTTCAAGCCACAAAAACAATTGTTTTAGAGCGTGATGCTGATCAGGCTTTTAATTCCTTGTGTATTGGAAGCAATACTCCGTGCTCTGTCTTAGAAGGAGCTTCCGCAAAGCCATCCCTTTCCGCGGAATTTCCGCCTTCCTCTGCACCACAGCCCCGGGGTGTTGGTGGTCAAGCTCAAATCTTGTGTCGCCAGCTGCGTACCGACAGTGGGTTCACAGCTGTAGCCACACACTGACGGCAAAACATTCGGCCGAGGCTCTCTCGCAAGACTGCCAGAAGAGAGTTGGAGCCGCAAATCATAGAAGGCTTCATGTGTGGTAGCCGTCAGGATCAGGCCTCGCTTTGGAGGACATGCGCAAACAAATTGCACAAGCAAATTGCAAACACCAAGCAGTCTGGATGTGCACTGCAGCCTGAAGTTGGTACATCAAGCCGATGCAGGAAGCCCCGCCAGTACTGCGAGTCACCTCAGCAATCTTATAGAGATCGCAAGGAAGCTAGGTTCTGACGAAAGATTCAACCCCATGCTATTGTCCATCATCTTCACCAGTAACTTGAAAGCTGCTTAGCCGCTGGGCTTCTGGCTAAGAATGGCAAATTGCCGTGCAGGCATCCATGCGGATACCTCAGCTTTGTCTCGCAAGACTCTCCAGAAGGCCGAGCGGCCAGGCGTGCGGATGATGATCTGTGGGCGAGCGCCGGACAAAGCCAGAGCAGGGCTCGAGCAAAACAATGGGCATCTCGTCTGCCATTACAGAATCAAGGTCCGTAGATGCTGTTGCCTGATCTTTATACATCCCGTGCAACTGTCGTTTTATGCCAACAGTCAGGCATTATTAAGCTAATGGGGTGTAATCCTCTATAAAGAAGTAGTGAGAATTGTGCTAGGGTTACACCAATTTAAGTTTAACCATATGCGGCAAAGAGCCTAGAAGTAAGTCTTGTTAACCCTGTAGGTATTGTTGAACAGAATGCCAGCGTGGCTTATGGCTCCCAGGTGTTGAATGACTTACTTTCTCCATAGCATCCCAGCCACAAAGCTCGACAGGAAGTTCATGCGCTCCTCATCATCAGGGTCAGCCTCCACTACGGCCGCCTCATCCTGATCCACGCACCAACCTTCAGGGTTCTTTCGCGGACAAGTGTGGCGCCCTTGTTTGGGATGCGGAGGTTTAGTGGCCCAAGGATAGCTAAGCTGCCACAATATCTCTTGGTGTTTTTGCATAGGCTGGGCTCCCTCCGTGAATGGCCTCAACTTATGCAGCTGGAGATTGATGGCCATGAAGGTCACACTAACAGCACAGTCCGAGATAGCCTATAAAGAAATTCAGCGACTGCCGCCCAAACAAAAAATTAATAACTCACGTGAGACGATCCAACTATTTTGGGTCATTGAACTGCGTGAGCCGCCTGGAGGCTTATATATCACGACCACACCAGGCAACTCCCAGAGGCGTGTGGGATGTGGACCGGTCGCCGCCGCCGGGTGCAAGGTTGACCTGAGGGGAGAAACAAGGTTCTGATATCTGGAGCAGTACTGAATGCTTCAGCCTCAGCCTTGTAAGCACGGACCTGAATGCAGCGATTCGATTTTCTTTCAACCTCGTACACTTGCTGCGGCTGTCACTCGTCTAGTCTAGCCCTCCAATAGCTACGGCAACTGAAGGTTGCCAATCATGCAGTCCCAGAAAACACGAGAATCCTCAAGATAAGCGGCGGTAGCCCGAGCGTCAGCTCCGTCGGTGGCACCGCAAGCTGCCGCCTTAGCTCAGAGGCCCACCGAACGTTGAAAGCTGCCACTGCAGCCGAGAGGGAAGCCTCGCACATGCAGGCAAGCAGCAGCGTTCTCTGGGCGAACGATAAGAACCGGCGCGGCCTGGGCTCCGTTCTACTTAGACTCAGCCTCCGCATGAGCCATAGTCTCAACTCCTAATATCCCCCTTAACATACCCTAAATAATCCATAAATAACATAAGGAGTTTGGATCATGGCTCACCTGCGGTAAAGGGATAAGAAGCCCTGCCGAGAGGCAGCTGCTTGGCGTAGTTGATTGACCAGACGGTGCCCAGCCTGACTATTCTCGATTGTGTCGATGGCTGGTGTGTTGTTGGATTCTGCCACATGTTTTCGTTCCTGACGCTCTCAAAGCAGCCAAGCAGCAGCCCCTCTGCAAAGTCACGCGCGGCATCGTCTTGCTGCAAGGAGCTACTTGCCAAAGCCTTGGATCTCTTTTCCAGAACATAATCACGTCTGCATACCACGCTTCGCATTATCCGGAAAACAAACACCCAGTAATTAATGCACACCTTGAAAGGCGAGCTAGCTCTTTTTCGTCTCGGAGGCCAGCTCTCATGCATCCTGCAAAGGAATGGGCGTCCATTTCCCTTTCATGTGGTTCACGATGCTCTTGATTTCCATCTCACCGGGTTTCCAGTCGCCATCAGCAACTGCCGCATAGGGGACCCCGCACTTGACTAGGATCATACAGACATGCTTGCACCGCAACTGGCTACCCCACGCTCTAGCATCCGCGCAGGTGCACACAGGAGGCCAATCTTCAGAGAATCTCACACGATGCTCCACTTGACCTGAAGGTCCAATGATATCAAACTCCACACCATTTCCAACATGTCTGCCCGACTTGCAGTCAAAGCCCACAGTGGTCGCATTTTGCCAGTCATCCATGGCGATTTCTGCGACTTCCCGTTGAGACATGGACGGTGTAACAGCCTGGCTAATCGGGCTGCTCGTCTCGGAGCTGGTTCCCAGTTCCCTGATACGCCGTACCAGCTCTGGCTTCGTGAGGCCAGCAGCATCTACATGATAGCTTGTTAGTAGCTCAATAAGTTCACGCTTTCGCATGTTTTCAAGGTCAGCGGTTTCCGCACGGATCGCTGTTACGCAGACTCGCGAAGGGACTCGCGTGTATCTGAGTTTCCAAGCTTGTGAGGAACCTAGCGAGCGCTCGCTGACGAAGGCGGAGACCGGCAAGGCCAGGTGTCGTAGGCCCGACAGCGCCCCCAGAAGCAGCAGTACCTGGAATCCTTTGGAGTTTCTGGCCACCCATGACATGAGGCGGCCCCTGCAACGTGCTGGTTGCATCCTACGAAGACTGTGGATTGAAGGAAGGGCCTTATGCGGAAGGCCTGCTGTTGTTTGCATCTGGTCAATTAATTGCTTCCTGCTCTACCTACGGCGTAAGTTGCTAATCAGTATTGGGAGCCACGACTTGAAGCTAGATACAAGCTGCGGGTAACCCTCGGCAACCTCACACAGCCAATATGCAGCATGTTGATGTTGATGCGTTGCCACACCTGAAGCTTTACTGGTTTGAGCACTTTCTGCTTCCAAACTAATCCTCCGCAGCCATGCACATGCACCGGAAGTTCTGCTGTGGACATGCTCACGCTATGGGCTGCGCTCCAAGTGGCTGCTCTACGTTGCTGGAACGCTTCCTCTGCCTCTCGAAAGATTTTGTCAGAACCTGCTTTGATTTGCCAACGTCTTGGGAGAGTGCGGGAAGCAGGTTGGACATCCAATTTCTGATCCAAAGCATTCTGAAGAACACATCTGCTGTCAGTGTGACAAAGGCACCTCTCGCGTTCGAGACGGCGTAAGCCCAGCATATGTTGGCAAGCTCCTGCGAACACTGGGGCTACTAGGGCAGACTTGACTTGCCACTGACTACACTACCACTGCCACTGCCGCTTCCACCGCCACCACCACCACCGCCGCCGCCACCGCCGCATGACGATGATTAGGACAGCAACAACGACAAGAACCAGCACAACAACAACACAAGCGCTTCCGCAGGCCGGAGTGCACCCCAGGTCGTTCCTCCCTCACTCAACGCACTCCCTCACTCATGACGAACCTAACATTGCTGCTACTACTACTACTGCTGCTGCTACTACTACTACTACTACTGCTGCTACTGCTAGTTCTGCTACTACTACTACTACTTCTTCTACCACTACTACTACTACTACTACTACTACTACTACTAGCCGCGGAATATAAATTCCCCGAGGACGCGGCCAGTAACAGTAGTAATGTTAATGTTGCGATTGCTGCCCGGACCTAGCAGGCGTGGGTTAAAGTGGCCATCTCTTAGGGGCGCTACGTGTG